GACGTGGCGGAGATTCCATTTTCGCGGGAAGTGTTGCCCTAACATGTGTCTAAAAATAAACCGGTCCGCAAAAACGCCGCGACATAGGGCTAGTATGGGAGTGGCCCTCTCCGGGTTATGTGTTTTTATTAATAAGCGCCCTCATTCTAATTAAGTGCCCCCATTTTAATATTAGAGAGAAGTAAGCCGAGGTTCATCTTCCTCATCATCTTTGCTCTCATTACAAAAAATCAGTGGTCTTCGTCGAGTTTGTCGTGTTAACTGATAAAATTCACGGTATATTTGTTACTATTACAGGATCTGATAAATATTTAAGTTTTGTTTTAAACATTCGATTGATTCTTAAAAAGAAATAAGCGCCCTGTCTCGAATAAGCACCCTCCCTTTAGGTAACAAAAGTAAATGCGGGTTCCGGGGGCTAAATTGAAATCATTACGTTCAGTAAAAGCTGGTTACTGAGAAACCACTTCCGAATTCTCAACAGGTGCTAATTCATCCTCGCCACAGCTTCTTAATTTTTTATCCTGGAATTAAAAAAGACATAAGAAGTTGGTGTCATGAACATAAAATTGGGGTGAACAGCTTTCAGGAATCGAATGGAGGTCATTAAGATAGATGCTCACTTGAATGAAGAGTAAAGGACCATGCTGGTTAGACATAGACTACCACGTGGAGTTCAGGAGTCATAAATCGTAGAAAAGCTCTGGTGAAACAAAAAATTGGTAGGAAAAGAAAAACGAAAGAAATATAATGTCAAAAGGGATAATTGGGAATTGCGTTTATAACCTCTAGACTTGATTTCTGCAACTCATTTTTTAATTATATGGTCTTCCTAGCTACCTCATAAAAAAACTTGCAGAAAGTTCAGAATGCTTCTGCTATTATTGTAATGCTGACTACCTACCTAGAAGGAGCATATCACGCCTGTCTTATACAGTCTACACTGGCTGCCAGTTGAACAAAGGATACTTTTTAAGCTGCTATTATTAACATACATAGTGCTAAGTGATTTTGCTCCTGAATATCTTTCCGCTCTCATTGTCATCTACGTACCTGAACGTAATCTCCGGTCTGCGCAAAGTCGGCAGTTAGTTCATCCAGCTTAAAACTTGGGTTTCTATGGCCTTAAGGTGTTTTCATGCTCTCCTCCTTTTTTATGGAATTCTCTGCCACGCGAGATGAGGTTTTCTTCTTCGTGAAGCAGTTTTTAAAACCAGGTGAAAACCTACCTTTTCAAAAGGGCGTATGAGTAGGCGGGGCGCTAGGCATATACGATCAGTTTCAGTGCTTTTAGATTTCAGTTTAATTTTCAACATTTTTTTTCAAGAGTTAGAGTTTTTTTATTTTTTTTTCTAGTTCTTGGTTGTAGTTTGAGATTTATTTCTTTATTATTATTAAACAGTTGTATTTTTGCCTTTCTAGCCTTTTCTAGTTCTAGGTTTTAGTCTTAGTCTTAGTAACATTGGTTGTAAATGTTTTTTTTACCCTTTTTAATACTTAGTTACAGTCGATTTGTAAGCCATTTTTATATAATTGTAAGGCAGGGTTTTATCTCTGTGAAGCACTGCAGGGGATTATTTTATTGCTATAGTGCTATATAAGTACATAAATATAATTATCATTTGATGCAAATTTTTCTTCCTTTTCGTCGGTCGAGGGCCCACCACGTGACCTGCAAATGCTTGCCTACAAATAATGGTCTGCTCATGCACAATGTCCTACAACTGTGTTTGGCTGCAAATGATATTCTGCGTAAATGGAGTCACGCTTTTCTCCTTCTTGCAACCCCTCTTGCATGTAAGGCTTTGACTGAGAAAGTTTTGGTGTTTTGGATTAGGGGTCGTACATGGGAGGTGGTCGCTTACGAGAGGTGGTCGCACATGGAGGTTCGACTGTATACTGTATACAACTTGCCCGAATAATTATTATTTAAATATTAATAATTACAATGATGCATAAATTGGTGTAAAATGATGTATAGATGTTTTAGAAACAAGGAAAAACTTAACATTTTTGACACATTGTAATTTATAACAAGCATAAAGGCATTTACAATTGTCACCGAGGGAAAGTTGTATTTTGGATAATTGTTTTTTGAAAGTTTCGAGATCCTCAGATTGATGAACTTGTACTGGCAAATCTTCACAGATGCGACTTTTATGATTGAAAGAGTGCTGAAATTTGCACGATGACGTTAGAGCCTCGCTAGCCTGTGCCAGGCTCTCAGATAGTATAGTGCGGACGTATTAAAACGAGCAAAGCGAAAATAAGACGCGCGCGACTTGGGAAAGGGAGCGGTGGCGGTGAGAAGAATGGGAGAGAGTCTCTCCCCAGCCCCCGCGTATTTTTCGCATTTCTTTTTACTGAACGACTTTTCACCACTATCTCGGAGCCTGGAACAGGCTAGAGCCTCGCAAGTCATACTTGACGCATTTCCGTATCGTAAGGAAGCTTGTAGGTTTTCGGAGGTATCATTTTTTGACACCTAAATAGCAAGACTGATGACAGGAAAATCCAGCAAGGTTGTGTTTATTCGTATGGGTTGGTATCGCGAAGTCATGTAGCTCCAGAACCATTCAATCGCTGATACGGAAGCTCCGATATCCTATAATTATTTTTTTCAGGAATATTCGATGCTAAAGGAGTGAGATTTGTTTATTATTGTTCTTTCGAGACAATTTCTCTATGAGGATCGCTCTGAAAATGTTGAATTCGAACTGTTGGATTTTCAACCTGTTTTATCAGGGGAGAGGAGCAGAATAGGAAGAAAGCAAGGAGAAAACGAAATGTTGGGCTGGATATTAGGAGGTAATTTATGGCTTTTTTTAGCTCGCGTGATGACAAGGGATGGGGGACTGTGATCCCCTTGAGTCTCCTTGGTCGGATTTACCGAGAAAGCATGGAATCAAACTTTGACACATTTCAGGTCTGTCGTTTTGGAAGTTATCTGACATTCAGAGCTTCGCTCTCACTAATAGGACTCTAATACATCATTTAGAGATTTTTCCTTGCGATATTGGGCAGCCGATGGTATTTCGCTTCGTCTGGGTAAAGCAGAAATGAAAATTTGATAAGAGATCGTTTCAAGCTCTCTCGAAGCTCTCGTTTCCCTACTTCCCTCGGGGTTTAGCAGCGCGCTCGCACATTCTCTCATGACTCGCTTCGCTCACCATAAATGGAGAGCTTGCTCGCAGGTCCTGGTTGTATCAGAGAAGAACACCTTGATATTGCCTTCACACACCCACATGCAATGCATTTTAAGGCTGAATTCAGTTTCATTATTGACAGAATCTGAGTCGTAATCAGAACCGCAAAGGGGTATTATAGAGACCAGTGGATACAACTTTCCGATTTCTCTTACGACACAGTGCCCAAATTAAATCGTAGACATAACAGCCACAACTGTAAAATATTCAACATTCCCTTTTTTTGCTTTATCACCGTACCTGTAGGTGTATTCCGGAATAAGAAGAAATGGAATAAACTCTAGAAATCACTTCTTTTGGCTGTCACTGCATGTATTGCAATATTTAGAAAGGTGCTTGAAAATATTTCGATCTACATAAAGTTTAAATGGTTCGAAAAACACGGTAGAAGAAATTTTTAGCAAAACGTTTGCTTATTCTAATTCCGGAATCAGATCAGATCTACGAGAAGTCGCTCTTTTTTCTTAAGGTTGATTTCCACTGACGCGTTTTTGGCTAAATACGCACGTTAATGGACGTAAATTTGAATCACGTAAATAAAATAGAGGTAACTAAAGTGCTGAGCTTAAACGAGAATATTGAGCGAGGTTTAACTTTTACGCTTACGTGCGACCTTTCATGTAGACTGCAAGCAGTCTCTTATTTTTCTTTCCAAAGTTACTGCACGCGAAACCTAAGCACGCGAGTGGCGAATTAAGCCGCAACAGAAACTCATAAGGGGTGAAACCCCTTATGAGTTTCTGGCCGCAAGCCGCGAGAAATGAGGGCGTATCTCTTATTGTAATGAAAACGTCGTGGGTTGCAATCGCGCTGGATGAGATAAGAACTAGACGGATTTAAGAGAAAAGGTGGACTGCAAGCAGTCTACCTTTCATGCATTGCCTCTATTTTATTTGCGAACGTAAATTTTACGCACGTACGCACGTAAAAATTAACGCGACATTGGAAGTCATCCCTTAGTCCGTCGAGCGAAAACACGTGAGGCACGAAAATGGCCCGCGCGGCTGCCGCTCTCGTTTCTCGCGTCTTGCGGCTCCGCTCCTCGACACTCGCGTTAAGAAAAAGAGAGACTGCTTGCAGTCTAACCTTTATCCGCGTTGCTTTAAACCACTGAGGAAGATTGAGCACCCTCAAAACGTCTGTTTTTGGATCTTTTCTATGAACATTTTCAAATTTTTTAAAAATCAATCTTACCTTTTTCCGCACTGCTTGAGAGATTAGGGAGCTTTATACATCGGCAACGGCAACGGCAGCGAAAACGTCACTTTTATAATGATTTCCCGATTTTTAAAACTTTGTAGTGTTTATTCCAATTCGCTGAAAATGTCAGATGAAGGCGAATTTCCCTGGAGGTATATTTTTTACGTTGTAGTCGTGCAGTGACGGCAAGAAATCTACAAAAGAGTGTCCTGCACGAGCAAACCTATTGCAAACCTTTTGTTTTCTGCCATTCTCGTTTCCGTCTCCGGTGTGCGAGTGAACCAATTTGAACAAGACGCCTAAACTCGTTTCCGTGGGATGCGTTGATCTATGGAAGCATAATGGCGTTCTATCTGAATTTGGAAAAATTAGGGAAACCAGAAAGATGTGTCATGTTATAAGCATCGATGAGAAGGTTACCAGCGTTCCGTGGGAAGACCATAAGCCGCGTCGTTGCGATATAAACTGGAAACGAAAGTGTTGCCCATTTTATAACTCAAACAAACTCAAATTTAACATCTTCGCTGCGATCGATCAAGTGAGCGGAAGTCGACGGGTTTTGTAAGACGCCGCTGACATAACGATGACTCATCTGGTTTAGGTCGATGTTATCTAGGGTGACAAAGTTCGATAAAGTTCGGATGTTTTAATCCAAGATAAAAGTTTAATATTCCAAGATGCTCTTGATACGGTTAAAAATTAATTGCAATGTGTTTCCAAGGTCTCAAAGTTAACATAGTTCCAATGATTATACCTGATTCCAAGGTATAGTAAGTTTACTAAGGTCCTGATCCATGTCCCATCCAGAAGTCCAATCCATGCCAAAAGCGAGTCGTGAATCGACGAGGACAATATTTTTGTGATTTCGCCAGGGGTACGAGCTGAAATTTACGCGATTTAACCTCCCATCGTCAAGGTGTTTTCGATAAGAAAAGAAAAAAAACTGAACTCTAGCTGTGCTCGGCAAAAACTGGCGAACTCCGAATAGAAAAATCTACTAAAACCTTATGAAAAAGCTAGATCTAAACAAGAAAGAATCATGAAGGGAAGAAATAATTTGGCTGAGGTCGCCTTTCGTGACTTGCCAGTATCCCAAAGGATTTCGCTGGTTAAAAAGCCATCCTAAACCAGGAGTGGGAAAACTCAAGGGCGACAAATTTGGCAAGGGACGTTCTGATTTCAACGTTCTTCAGAGGAAGCAAATCGATTAAAAAAAAGGTACAGATTTTGTACAATCTGATTGGTCGGCTTGGAAGAAGAGATAATCGATAAAGATTTTAGGCAATCCTATTGGCTGGCTTTGCAATTTTGGGTACAACCGAACCGGATTTTTACCGTGGGAGTGCCAGAGGCATCCCACGGAAAAAGGAGAACGACGGGGGTCTGGGGCGGGCGCTTCTTCTGGTCAGCGCATAACACTTTTAGCACATGCTCTCCAGAGAAACCATTTCGTCATCGTTGATTGAGTTGTGGAGTGCCAGAGGCATCCCACGGAAAAAGGAGAACGACGGGGGTCTGGGGCGGGCGCTTCTTCTGGTCAGCGCATAACACTTTTAGCACATGCTCTCCAGAGAAACCATTTCGTCATCGTTGATTGAGTTGGCTGCCATATTGTTAAGGCTTTTGGGAAGTGTGGGAGCGAAAATCGCTGTCTATTTTTAGGACTTTCCGTATAGCAAAGTCCATGATTAGCCATGTCGAAGGCAGAACAAGTCTTGAAGCTTGAGCCAGCTTCAGAATTGCGCTTTCGGGGTATTTTGTGATTGTCTATTCTGTTGTCGATCATTGTCTAAGTCAATCCAGACGTGCTTTCAGTTATTTAACTAAAAATGCTTTCACCTGGTTATCACAGGATCTTTTACAAAAGTCGTCACAGCAAATCTTAAACTGACGAATCCTACGGAAAAGAAAGTATGCTTCAAAGTAAAAACTACGGCTCCAAAAAGATACTGTGTTCGTCCAAACAGTGGATTTGTAGAACCTACTGGGGTTGTAGAAGTGGCCGGTAAGTTGTTTATCTAATTTAGCCAGTTCAAACTTCAGTTATCATCTTAAAAAGTTTTGTAGGGAAAACTGACTTTTCTTTCCACCTGGTTGCGTGGCAGTGTATGTTTTACTGCGATGTATATTCTCATACAATTTTTTGTTAATGAATTTAAAAGACTTGTTCCTACACGCCTTCAGTTTGCTCTACCTTTCATATGAATGTATGGGGTAAGCTCGTCATATGTAATTTTGAATTACAATCACAAAGTCACAATAGCAAACTTGGTAAAATATGAGGAAAGACTTGCAACCTCTCTGAGAATTTCTACAGAGACTGCAACTTCATTTTATTATTACTTTTTATTTACAGTTATGCTTCAGCCATTTGAATATGATCCAAAAGAAAAGAGTAAACACAAATTCATGGTTCAGACGATGTTTGCCCCAGAAGGACAAATTGATCATGAGACATTGGTACGTGGTGGTTGTTATTTCTTAACACTTTGAAATTACAGCTAGTTAACTAAAAAATAAAATGTGAAATTTTGGGGTTTTTATTGAAAGGCAGGTATCAGGCTGATTTAGCAACAGAACAGGAATGTCAGTTGATGATGGTGTGTGCAAATGAAACTACTGGCTTGACCAATGTTAGAGCGGCAAATTGGGAACTGGAAGTGGAGTTTATTCTTTTCTTTGCGCTTTCCCGTCGTCAAATGACGTTTCCATTGTGTTGCTAAATCAGTCTATTTACAGGAGGCAGTCACTTCTTCAACAACCTTTGCAGTAGTCATCTTCAGAGTCAAAGTGAGTTGTATCTCTTCAGTTGATGTTAATATACTCTGGTTATTGACCTGATTGGTCAATTAAGTCATTTGACATACGTGTACTTAACACTTTCTTTGGCTTGGTTAATCCTCATTTCTTTTTCCTACATTATTCCCCCAAAAAAAGGGGGATGCATGAGCAAAAGTCTTGTCTTACTGCCCATTTGTATAGGTTACCTAGAAAGTTGTCTGCATCATGTTAGTCTTCTTTTTTTGATAGGTCATTTTGACAAAGACAAGAGTGACAAAGTGGATGTTAGTTCATTTGTAGTATTAGAGCCGTGTCCTTTTCTTGTGTCTCTAACTTCTAAAGTTATAATTTTTTGTAAGCTATTACCTCTCAAGTTATGGCCAGCCAAAAAATGGGTTGTGTGTGACCAAAATAAGTTTGACAGGAAAATGTTACTAGGGATAACCCATTATGTCAAGTCATTCACTCCCCAACCCAATATACCATGTACATGTAAGAATATTGAAGACATTTAGCGCTATCTTGCATACATGTAATACAATGTAACTCTTTGGCTTTGCCTACCTTTTTTGCAGTACAGTGAAACCTCTAGTAAGTGGACACTAAGCCGGGCGTGCAATTAACGTGTTATGTTTCCCTTTATAATGAACCCCTATTCAGCAGACACCTCTATTAAGCGGACACGGGACTGAATTGACAATAGTAGTATTGGATTACGTCCTTCAAATGTGTAGTGTAGTCGAGTAATAAAGATAAATCAATACATTTAGCTATCGATGAACTGTAGATTAGACTGATATCCTGCCACATGATTGTCCTCCAAGTTCAAGTCTTCCACAAAGTACAGCACAGCTTCCTTAAGAGCATGGAACTCTATCACAGTACAGAGTAACTGTTGAATGTTAATCGGTAACAAACATTGCACAATTTTTACAAACCTCTATTAAGCGGACACCATCTATTAAGCGGACACTTGGGAAGGTCCTGAAGGTGTCAGCTTAATAGAGGTTTCACTGTATTCAATATTCTGACGTTTTATGAAATCGCTTCTCGTCAATATGCCTACAGTCACGTCCAATACTCCTACACTGTTGTGGACTGTTAAGGGCAGTTGACGGATCGTACAAACCGTCAGCATTGTAACTGTCCATATTGTGAGTGCATACGAAGGGTACATCTCATTATTACATTGGGGCACAGGGTGTTACGGTCCCGTACGAGGATCGCAATGGTCAATATGCTTCATTGATACGGATCGTAACTTCCTCATTCTTTAAACCATAAAACAAAACAAGCATGCTCAGGCAGTTATATTCCTCGTTCTATAAGCCATAAATTAAAAGAAGTACGTTCCAAATTCCTCATAAGCCATAAAGCAAAACAAGTGCACTTTAAATTTAATATTCCTCATTCCATAAGCCATAAACCTAGAGAAGCACATTTCAAATGTAATATTCCTTGTTCTTTAAGCCCTAAACCAAAATAAGCATATTTCAAATGTAATATTCCTTGTTGCATAAGTCATAAACCAAAATAAGCACACTTCCAATTTATGTAATGTTCCTAGCTCTATAGACTAAGTAAGAACAAGCACACCCTATCACCAATGAAGCCTGCTCTAAATGGCCATAAACAGCGTGACTACAGCTCTTAACAGAACATACATGAGTTTTGCAATCCATAAGATCTGTACAGATGGACAAACCAGGTATACCTTCTCATGCAGCCATGAAAATTTGCTAAGTCCCACTGATGAGGTGCAATTTATGGACTGTAAACAGCTGTTTACAGACTGTGTATGAGTTTTGCGATCTGTACAATCCATACGGATTGACGAACTGTATATACCCTATCTTAATATGAAAATATTCCTAGTCCCACTGATGAGATGCAATTTTTGGACTGGACTGTACATGAGATTTGCGATCTGTATGATTGGTGGTGTCGTGTGTCGTTTTGTTCTGATTTCAGATTGGCCTTTCTCATGCCAATGCCAAACATCATTGAATACTGATTTGCACAGTATGCAAATCACAGCCGTGAAATTGACACAGTGCGTTGATCGAGAGGTGAAGTTCAAATTTTGTTTCAACCCGGGACGATTGAATTTTCTAACAGTGCTTTAGATGTTTGAGCTCTTAGCCACTGAAGATTTTGTTATTACCATGCCTCCGCTGGTTACCTAAATTAAAGCCGTTCAGCTCCTTGTATAAATTATACAAAAGCATTGTAAAGCTTTGGAAGTGTTGAAAAGCGGTGAAAATCATGAAGAACCGTTAAAATCCTTTAACCGTTGAAAAAAATAAAGCTGTTAGCCAACCCGTTGAAAGCGTTATGAAAAGGCTTTGGAAAAATCATCACAAACCATTTGGAAAAAGTTACAAGCTGTTGAAAGTTTTTGCGCACCCATTGGGAGCGTTGAGAAAGCCGTTAAAGCCGTCGGAGAAACCGTTAGCTACCTGTTGGTTAGCCCTTGGTTTTTGCCCGTTTAACACAAAACCGTTAGTGTACGTTTTCGCGTGAGAGGTCACATTTTCGTGGCAGTAGTTTTGAAGATTAATGGCTGATAAATAACAATTTTATTATTCACCGTAGTAGAGGTGGCTAGTGGTTGTTATTCAATAATTAAGGTAATCAAGAATGGTACTTATTTACCAAGCCATGAAGCAGTGATTTAATTGAACACAAAAAGATGATTTTTAACACTTTAATTGCTGCAACAGTTACAATTTTGGCATGCAAATGCCCTCTTAGCCATCATGTTTTTTTGCCGACAAATACAACATATGAAGGCCTTTGTTTAGCTTTTGCAGGGACATTTCTTCCAAATGAATTGGGAATTCTTTCTGTATTGAAACCATTCTGATTAAAACACCATTTGATTTAGTTTCAAGCTTATTCATGAACATGTTTGGCATTACTTGTTGCTTAAGCATGGAGGTGAATCAGTGAATAGCACTGGATAGCCTGAGTTTGAGTAGCCAATCAGAGCATGCGAAAAACACTGTTTCAGTATTTACTTGGTTGGACAGTGTTCAGGGAAAGAACATGATGTTGTATCAACATTAATTCTAGATGATTAGATGTATACTGTGCCAAACTAGACATGTATATGTGTATGTAATAAAGGTAATCAAGAATGGTACTTGAAACACAGCTATGGCGAGCAGTTTTTGTCCCTGTGTTTTTAAACAAGTTATTGCTCATGTTATTGTTCTGAATTCAGCAGTATCATCATTCTTATTTTAATTTAACAGTGGAAAGAGGCGGACCAAAGTGCATTTATGGATTCTAAGCTGAAATGTGTCTTTGATTATGTGGACGAGAGTGAAGCACCTGTAGATGGTAGTATGGGAGGAAATGTAAGTGGTCAATTTTAGTCATGTTACATGTAAGTTATGAACATGTTTTTAGGAACTGTTTGATCACCTGTTGGGAGCTACCCCTTTAAACAGTGATGAAGGTGCTCACAGTATTTGGAGGAAAAATTGGTCAGTTGGTACTGCTTGAGTTCTTGGAGTATCTTTTATGGCTGAAAAGGCTGAAAAAATGATTGCCTGGTTATTTTTTGATGAAATTATGAATATATGAAAATCATATATGAGAATACCCTGGGTACCAGAGGTTTTTTCTCGCATGGGATGAGGAACTTCATGGGCCGCACGAGCGGCGAAACCACGAGAAAAAACCTCTGGTGCAGAGTGCCTTGATTTACTATGCTGGATGGACCTTGACCTTGTCTCTTATCTGTCAATCAAATCAGTGTCACAAGCTAATTCAAAAGTAATTATCAAGGAAGGAACAACACGCTGGAGAACAAAAAGTCACACTATCTCCAGAATAACAAGCTTGAGTTTTCATAGAAATCATTGCTTAAAGAGAAATCTTGTCACAGTACAGTTCTCCTTAATTTATGTAGCTTTAGTATGAGCTGCAATCCATTCTTCCAAATTTGGATCTGTTAATCACTAAGGAGAAATAAACATCCTGCAAAAACTACTAACGAGCTGAGCCCAGTGTGACATAACATTGCAGGAAACTTTCACATTTACGGACAAAAGAAAACCGCTTTTAGTCATTCAAATCCAGGAAACACAAAAGTTTTTTTAGCTGCAAATGAAGAAGTTTACGTTTCAAAAGAGGTTAAGAAAAATGGTCTCGACTCACATCAGAGGGAAAATCATGCCGACCAGAAATAAACCGCAGAAAATCAATATGCGTGTCATGACCTCTCAGTATAAAACAAGGGGCAAAAATAATACACATTTGGTCAGTCGTAATCTGTTTGAATGACTTCGGCTATAGCCTGGTCTAAATCTTCCGTTCATACAGGCATCTGATATTTCCAAGTCTCTTCCAAAAAGCGAAAATGTACGTGATTATGTGCTTGGATTGTTTCAAACCACCCGCGTCCCTATCATGCGCCTATTGTGATTGTAATCCAATAAGAGCGTTTGAAACATTCGATATCTCAAAGAAACCAATCAGCAAAACATCCAGATTCTGGATGTTTTGGTATAAGCGGGGTTGTTATTGGCTCGGCTCTATCAAAGGGATTGCGCTCTGGACTTGACGCTTTTCACGCAGGTCACTTTGTAAGACTTAACCGAAACCGGAAACCGTGCATGAAAAGCCTCTGGCACCCAGGGTAATATGAGAACTGCGGGTGAAGAATTATATGAAAGAATATCATTGCAGTTAGAGACAGAACTTTTGCAGTTGCGAAAAGAAAGCCTGTACAGACTTGTACAGGATTTGAACCCTTTTACCTCTGGGATGCCGGTGCGCAATCTACCGATTGATCTAACAAGCCAACTGGGAGCAGGTTGTTGTATTGGTTCATATTAAACCTGATGATGAAATGAAATTATGTATTATATGTTATGCATAGCTCAAGTGTCAAAATTTGGTGCATATGAAGAACTCATCGTCTTTAACATTCGAAAGTATAAATGTTGTGTCCATAAGTCATATGATATGTCATGTGACCATTTTTTGCAAAATCTTTAATAATTGACAAATTGGTGGCGGGTTTAAGAAAAGATATCAAGCAATAACCTTCAGTTGCGTTTAATGCTTTGAAGTTTACAAAAAGTGACCTTTCTCATCCACCAATGCATCTATAAGAACTGACCTATAACTTTAGAATTCACGTGAGCTTTTTGGTATTTTTATTGCAAATTTGACAGTTTTATGTTGCAAGTCAATTAGGAGGGCCAATAGAACATGGTTCATATCAGAATATCAGAAGAGAACTTCTAGTTGCAATAACCTTATGACTAAGGATAACAGCTATTTCTTGAATTATTGGTGATACTTCATTGGTTAAAAAGCAGTTTTGACTCAGTTTCCTACTTGTATGATGACTATTCAGTCCTAATGCTTCGTACCCAGTGTTGAAGTGTGTGTGAAAAATGTGGGCATAATAAAGGCCAGCTTTAACCATACTGTTTCATAACTCTGACCTAGATATTACACTGAAAATGTAAAGAAAAGATAATTCAAGTCAATGTTATTCCTAATTAGGTAATTCCTTGACAGATCTTTGAAAGAAATGCAAGAAAATGTAAGCAACTCACTGTCATGGAGCATAAGGAAAGGAAGAACAGCCCTTAGCAACTGTTGCCACTGAAAAGCCTTGTTTTTGTGCATACGTATACTTTAGTATACAACCAAACAAATCCCTAGCTGGCTTTTTTATTCCCTGCCTACATGTACTTTTCGTATTCATCTGGCAACTTAAATATAAGTGTCAGCCCTGAAATATTGAATGGTCTTAAACTTGTTCTTTTACTGAATTTTAGTGATGCGTATAATAATATTAAGTCTGTGTATTGGCCAGCATAAGAATTAAAAATCCTTTTTAATGGATAACATGTACAATTTTGTTTAGAAACCTACTTGTAATTTCAACATGCATCTTCTCCATCTAGTTTTACATACATTCAGTCACATTCATGTGGTACTAATGAAAAGAATTTGTTTGGATTATTCTTGTGTCATTTTTCTCTCTTAGGCCCCAATGTAAGGAGAAATCAGCCCCCTGCCATAATTTCAACTTGTAGCCTGTTAACTACACAATGTTGTGCAGGCACCACTGGTAATTTAAAGAAAAATGCTAATTAAATTATTTATTTTTACATGGCAGGAAAATGAATCTTTGAACAACAGAGAAGTACCTCTTCCTTCAAAGATATCTAAGTTAGAACCAGCACCAGTTGACAGTGGTACTAGTAACATCAAGACACCTTCTTCACATAATCGAAATGGTTCTTATCCTGAACCAGGACTGGAAGCTTCCACATCAACAAGATCTTTGCAGGTACTTAAAGATTGATGCAAAAGATGTCGCGCTTTTCCAGAACGGGTTGGTCCACGAATTCTATCCCTTGAATCCCTTGAAGGCATTGATTACTTTAGAGCACGTGAATACTTTAGTAGTTGAAAAAAAGGAGAATCTTTATGAGCGAAACTTCAATCTCGAGGCTAACTGCAGGTCGGGTGTTGTAAACTTTCATTGTATGCAAATTTAGTCTTGTGATAAGCATGTGGTTTATTTTTCTGGTGATGATTGAAATAATATGCCAAGTTTTATTGAGGCCCTTGATTTTCGTGTACTTATGCACGCATACAGAGAGAAATTGTCGAATACAATGTAAATGTAAATATCCTGAATCCTGCTTTGTGTAGAATTAATCACCTCCTCATTTCTTATATAATCTTCAAGCAAGCGAGACTTAACATTACTAAAGAACTTTCTTGTTATTCCATCATGTTATGAATAATAAACTAGTGTACTGGATTAATGAGGTTAACTTATCTCCCTCTTGGTCAGTAATAATTTTTTGTAATGTTAGTAATGTTAAATGTCTTCTGTTAATTCACTACAGGCTGATGAAAGAAGAACCATAAATGAGGAATTAGAAAAACTGAAAAATGAAAACACTGTTCTTATGGTATGTATTGCATTGTGTGGTCATATCTTTGCAAAGGCGCAAATTCAGTCATTCTTGGGGGGCTGCCATTCCTTGCTGTTTAGTAGGCCGTTTCTGAGTTGAAGTAAACCTCAACACGAGGCTACTGTAAGTGTCAGCTGAAGTGTGTAGTCTTTGCTAATGTAAAACATTTTCACGGTTTCACACTTGACATCTTTTTGGTGGCAGGGAATTCTGGACTTCTAAGACTATGATTTCTTTGTACGTACTGTTAAAAACGGATTTTTAGATAGGAAGCTTCATGATTTTAATTTATGCTATGAGCTAAAAGTCTATACTACCCACTGGACTTGGGGGATAAGAGGCATCACTGGCTCTTTGACCCCCAAATATTTCGATAACGCTTTGATAGATTTCGCTCAAACTTTGCAAACATCGAGGCGGTTATTGGAGCTCCCTTGAATCATTTTGGAAGAACAGTTCCCAGTACCGAGAAACATAGCCTCCCACGCAGGCTTTCTTAGGGGAGCTCGTTTTTCATCCCTCCCCACAAACGCCTGCTCAACCGAAGACAACATTCCCTTCCCATGCTTAGCAAACCACATTGTACTTTCCATATTCTGGAAAGTTGACCTTGACCGCAAGGTAATCTGATAATCACTCGATCTACGTGAAACACTGGGAAAGCTTTGTGGGCCTCTAGATTCATAGCGGCAAAAATAAGATTTAGTCAAATTTGAGAATACTCCATGCACTGCATAACCTTAGCGAAGGAAAGAAAAGAAGGGAAACGGTAACTCCAGGGTCACGTTTTAGTCGCGTTTAGCCTGTCAACACTTTTTTGCACAACTGTTAATTGGTCACTTACCACTCAAATAAAACAATGGGAAAGGAATGTTGTTTTCGGTTGAGCAGGCGTTTGTGGGAAGGGATGAAAAACGAGCTCCCCTAAAAACGTCTGCGTGGGAGGCTACGAGAAACACGGCCGTAAGTAAAATAGGTAATGGCGTCATTTCGTTGCTATGACAACTCCGCTGTCATTGTAACTCTGATCATAACAAATCTTCATCTTTTATCTTAAAACGATTCGCAACGACGAGTTTTAGCGGAACGCAGCATTACAGTATTGTCTTGACTGGCTGCCACATTGTTCCAACATTGCTAAGCAGTTTTGCGCTCAAAATCGTCGTTGCGAATCGTTCTGTGTAACATCACTTTTATACAGCTATGGTGGTAATTTTTTATGCTGAAACTTGGGAGATATTGATCCAGAAGAACCCTATTGAGCCACCTCAATAGCGATCGAGTTTGAATAAAATGTGTTAATTGTTTTGTTTCTTGTTAATTTGCTAGGAGGAGACATTAAGACTCAGGAAGAATGTGACGCAGCTTCCTTCGCCAGCTCAGGCGTCTTCAGCTAGTGTGACTACAATGCCGTCACCACAGCGGCAGCAGCAGCAGACAGCGGCAGCAAATATGCCACCTGTGGCAATAGCCTATCTTGTCATAGCATTGATATGTGGAATAATTATTGGTAAATTTCTCTTGTAAAAGACAGTGGCTCTTAGAGTTATTTTAACGTGACAATTTTAGATCCTAATAAACAGATGTGGAAAGGAGTTTTTCCATCAACCGACAGCAATGTCCTTGAGGTGCAGCAACGTTTGCTTTGAAAAGTGTTCAACACAATGATTCACCTTGGAAATATATATGTATTATCATTTTTCCCCTCCTAATTCGACTCTTTTTACTTTCAAACGCTTTTGTGATCTCATCGGTGATGTAACCACAGGACTCAGACTTGGAAGTGAAAACTAATTACAATGTATGGTCAATTTTAAGTAAAAATCATCGACAAACTAAGTGTAGTGATGAGTAGTGTTAGAGTATGCTTCGTCACCATAGGCCAGACAAAAAAATATAATTATCAGTTGTCTATGCCAGTAACAGAAACATTATTACTGAGGATGAATATGGTGATGAATACATTTTTCCGCCATTTGACAAGTTAAAAATTCTTTTTTTGCTCATGTGAGAATAATATCAAACACTTTTCGGTGATGGGCACGGGTCCGATAAGCAAACAGTTAACGCTTCTTCAAAAAAGGGATGATGTTAAAGTGTCCTTTTAACAGTTAATAAATGTCTGATCTTTCAATGATCACAGTGTTCATTTTAACTCATTTCTTTCTTGCGACTTCTTTCTTTTCTCCTATCAGCGTCAAACTGACTCTCCTCTTTACAGTAAGAGTTGCACAAATTTGCAAGATTTAAGCACTAAACTACACTTTTTGCGTCGGAAATGCAACACCAAAATATTCTCACAATGTTTCGTCATTTTCTGTTTTTCTTTTTTAGAAAAACTGTTTGTGCCACATTTGAAGACCGCGTACCACTCACTTTACACCTTGCTTAAGGCTTCCATTCCAAAAGGCTCCCTGTTCAGACTTTGAGACTCGGCACGCCGAAAACCATATACTGTTGGGCCGGCAATACTTATCCGATAAGCCAAATAAGAATGTTCCCCTCTCACCACCCCCGTGACTACCTCAAATATAGTCCATTGCCTTACTAGAGTTTTTTGCGTTAGAATTGGGGAGTGGTACGTACGATAATGGAGATCGGAAAGAAAAATACCCTACTCTGCGCTGGTTTTTCCTGCTCGCCTCTCTTTGCGCCTTCCCCACTACTTTAAAGCCTGCAACAAGCTACAATAGCTTTAAGTCAACAAGCCTTTTTGAATGTATGTTTGAGGCAAAAAAATGTGCGTTCAACAAAGAAATTCAAAAGGACCGGTAAATATACGGGACGTACATTGAATTGTATAAACGATGATGTTATACGCTACAATTTTAGGATCATTTATTTATAGAGCTGGGCACGTACGGTCCCGTTTAGGCAATAGAACTCGCAAGTGTTCAACAAAAACCGCGTTGTAACCCCATTTTCAGTTTTCCAAACGCTTTTATCTAAACACCATTTTTCGAGAGGAATTTGAACGAAGCATAGAGCGTAGACTGGAAAAGCACTTATTATCTTAAAAAAAAAAACCGTTAAGAAAGTGATCTGGAGGTCCACTGATTTCTTAAACCGCGGCCTAAGTTAGACTTCGTTTAAATAACCGACCCAATGTTCACTTCACGGCCATCCAATATGCTTGTGGGGCCTGGGTACGAGATCGGTTATGTTGTGGTCAGAGCTTTCACAATTTTCTTTTTTTTTCTTTTTTCTGTATTTCTTTTCTTTTCTTTATGTTATTTTTTCTTTTCTTTTTTCTTTTCATTTTTCTTTTCACTTGCTCTCGATGTCGGAAAACACACTGAATATTTCACGGAAAAAAGGGTTGCCCAGGAGCCTGATTTAATATTCGAACCGGTAGCGTATGGTTTTGTATACCTTTGTTCCGATCCGACCAGCTGTTCCGACTGTTATTTGATATGAATATCATTTCCCTTCTAGTCTCAAATCCAGCATTAAAGAAAAATATTACAGGTAACTTGAACAAACTGTTTACTGTTATGTTCCTGAATCTTTCTCGATACTACCTCGAAAGAGTGCGTTGTTTGTAACTCAGTTTTTTCGTTTTTTTATTTGTTTGTATAGGTCAATATATTACCCTTTTCATCATCATTTCAACGTCAGTATCAGCGGCAATGTACCAACAAGTCAGACAAACGTCTGTAAAATAAAATTTCTCTCAACAGCAGCTAGTACCTGACAAATGAAGCAGTGACCTGTAAACAAGTGCTGGATATGCTTTGCTTCTCAAGCGTGTCTTGAATGAAAATATCACAGGTACTTAAGGTCGCGCCTGGTGGGAACAAAGCGGATAAAATAGCCACAAATACACAACTTAATCGTCATATCTTTATATTACTATAACAGCCAGTGTTTTGACTGAAGCGGTTGCGGCGTTAAAAAGCCAAAATGGAAGGCGAAAAGCACTGTGAGGTGGAATTCGAAAGACAACGCTCCCTCAGTGTTCCAGTTATATCGATAGAGAAAGTACCGGATGACCGCAACGGTTCTAAATCTGTGAGTTTTGAGAGAGAAACGAGGACAGAGAATCGACGATTTTCTGAAACACGACAACCAAAAAACACGACTTCACATAAAAGTGTGAGAAGACTCTCAAGTGGGGGGTTGATGCGAAATCAGAAGAGGAGACCGTATGCCAAAACAGCGATCATAGATAGAAAACAAACTTCTCATCACGTAAAGCAGCCGAAACTAAGAGGTTTCACTACAGGAATAATAACTAATCCCGCACCGCGTGCTCTGACTCACGCTCAAAGCCGGCGCCAACGATCGAAATCCTTACCGTTATTAAGGGAGAGTTATGAACAGGACCACAAACATTATGACGGGGAAATTTGGAGTCCAGCTTCCAAAGAAAGACAAAGCTCGGATTCAAAGACTTACCGTAAGATGTTGCATCAACGTAGCATGTCTCTCCCAACGTGTTTACAATATGAGCCTAAGCCGGAACAAAGCCAGAAGCATGAGAAGGAATCGGCGCTGTTTAGTACAATGCGCAACACATCAACTTCAGCTAACTTTGAGAATTTTGTTTTTGACTTAAATAAACTGTATGTCGACAGTTTAAAACAAAGTGATCAAGAAAAGCAAGAATTGTCTTCAGTAGAGAGAAGAAGATCCTGGCCGTTCTGTTGGAGCAAAAGTGTAAGTAACCAATCTATGGAATCTTCAGGACAGATCTCCGCTAATTTTGATATTGGACTTAATAGACAAGAGTCGTTGTTAGTAAACTCTAACAACATCAGAATTCAAAGAAGTAAATCTCTCCCGTTGATGGGAATTTCTTTATTTGGTGAAGTTAGAACAGAAAAGAAGACGATAAAAGATGAAGTTTCTAGAGCGGATAATGGATATCAGCACGAGGCTAGTTTCCGTTGTGGTGACGTACTTGGCGAAATTATTATTAGAAAAGAACATTCACGAGCAAAGAAAAGAACTCCAATAATTCGCTCAAAATCCTTGCCCTTCGGGTTGAGCATTGAAAGTGAAGCAAAGATGTCACCGAATTTAATACCAAAAAACTCACTGATGGAGAGTTTACAGCGTTATCACAAGTTACAAGACGCCGTAGCAAACAGAAGAAAGGCAAGATCTCTACCTTGTATTTACGCCGGGAGTTTTCCCAATAAGGAGACTTTGTTTAAGGTTCAGAACATTCATTTAAAAACTGACGAAACTAGCCTTCACCAAAAAGAAAATAGCGAGGAATCTGTATTAATCACCGAAAAAGTCAACGGAAATATTTCACTACTAATGCCGTTAAAACGGGCGAGGTCGCTTCCTTTGAACCTATTGGAAGAACAACAGCAAAGTGGAAATGACCATATTAAAAACGAAACAAAAAAGGAATCTTTCGGCAAACATCCAGATTTCATCGGCAGAGAAAAGGCGAAATCACTGCCTAATATTTTGGAAGGAGAACACAGTCTGAGTTTTTCACCTATTGCGATGCCGGAACTTCTGGAAAAAGACAGTAACATTTGTGAGACAGTCACAGCAGAGGAAAATATTTACAAAACAGTTGTTGAGGTAGAAAGCGAGGAACAAAACATTTACCCGAGTGAAGGTAACGGCATTTCTACTGAACAAGACGAAATTGGCGCCAATTCAGAACATCTTGACACTCGAGCAGATTTCTTGAAACAACAGGAAGCAAACTTAGACAAGCATCAACCAAACCTATCATGCCCTCATAAACTTCGGAAGAGGGCCCGAGGCTTTTCAGTCCCTTGCTTATTTAAAATGGAAAAAATTGTCGAGGAGCCAAGCGATATTGAACTTCGTTCCAGGGCGCGAGGCTTTTCAATCCCTGGTTCATTTCAAATGGAAAAAATTCTTGAGGAGCCGAACGATAGTGACGGCTCCCAGACGCAAAGAATTTGCGATGAATACGAGAATAATGAACAAAATGACACTAACAGCGAATCTAAAACGGCAGACATTGTCGAAAACAACAGGCTGTCTGACAAATCATCAATTGAATATTTCGGTGCCCCGAGCTGTAATGATAATAGTACTGTCTTTTTCCATGACAAATCAAGAGGCAAACAAGAGGGAAGTCATCAAATGTACCACCACGAAAATTATTTGCAAAGATATGACAAGGTAGTTAGCCAGGCTTTAGCGAAAGTAAATCGACTTGAATTCTCAAAATCATCCTCTGGTCTTCACCGTGCAGCTGCTAACGGAGATTTGGAATGTGTTAAACGATTGGTCGAAGAAGGTGATGACGTGAATGGTGTTGACGAATCAGGCTGGCCTGTCCTGCACGCAGCTATCACAACCGGAAACTTTGATTGCGGCGAATGGCTCGTGGAAGCCGGGGCTGACCTAATACATTACACAAACTTTGTTATTGACGAATACAGAATTCTAACACAGCAGGTTTATCAAAATTTCTAGCTCTAGTACGATCATTCAGCTCTACACTCGCGGCTTGACCACAATCCGTCAAAGGTAACGGTAACTTGAAGACTGTGTATGCTGCTGTTGAATTTTCTAAGTTTGAACGTTTCATTTTTAAAATGTCACGAACATATATTATTGATAAATAGACAAAAGCAACAGAACGATGTTTAAAATGTACTAAGCACAAGATGAGGACACCTTTTCTCTTTAAAAATATTCGCAATCAGTAAGACAAACTTCAAACGCGACAAGGTAACTAGTTAAAATAGCCCATAACTTCGGTTTTAACACTGTTATTTTCAGTGTGCATGAACAAAGCCAGACGGACTAAACATTAAGCAACGCTTTTAATTGCCTGTTAGTCTTGTCTCTCTTAGTTCTCAATGTTACGATATTTACAAAATGCGCAGTTTACAGTATCCCTCAAACGAGATTAACCTTATGTGATGACGTCGCTCGGGTTACACACTTGGTACATTTAATTAAGCTGTTTAATGCAAGGTCCTGTCCACTTTAACTCTGTTATCGTATTTACCAAAACGTATTGGTTTTAGCGTTTTTGCATCGCTTTCGGCCGTCCACTCTTATCAACAAAAAACGCATATTATTGGATTGCAATTAGCGCGTTCTGATTCGCTGAACTAACTCAGATTCTCCTTGGCTATTTACAGTCCATTGTTTTGGGATGGGTGTCGAAGTGGCGTCACGTTTTGTAACAGTTTCGGAGGACGAAGCTTAGCGATAAACGAATCAGCTGTACCCGGCAACAAATACCAAGAAAGGAAAACGACGTTGTTAAGAAGGGTTCACTTTTGAGAGCAATTTCTACACCTCTTATTTCACAGTTAGTTAATGACCAACCTGAGATCAGGCTCAATTTTCGTTTCACTTTGTAAATAACATTCCGGCGGGCAAGGCGAAACGAAAAGAGATTTTAGCGCTGGCCGTTAGAGAGAATGTATGAGAACCGCTAAAATTGGGCCTGATCACAGGTTAGTTAATGACGAAAGGTCAAAGCACATAAAAAGTGTGTGCGTTTTCCTACGAAATTGAATCAGTGTAGTCGGGGTCTTTACGAAAAAAAAAATGAACTCTTTGCCAAGAGATAGATTACTGTTAGCCTATTCTAGGAGTTCGGATATTGGAGTGTGGCGCGAAGGAAGAGAGCGAGAAAAAAATAAGGAGGAAAAGAGGAAGAGGGAAAGAGGAGGGAATTCCCTCGCCCTCACCCCTACCCCTCCCCCTTCCTCTCGTTTTTTTGTTTTTGCTCACATCTCTTTGCGCTGTCGCCACGATCTGGACGCCTGGAACAGACTAGAAAAATGTCCGTTGAAAGACAAAGAAATAGGTTAGCATATTTTAAGCCGATACGAATCGGATGCCAGTGTCTTGCCTTGAGGGGACTCCACTCCTCATGGATCACTTACTGCTGAGGACTCGACTTGTAAGAAGAATACAGTTTGATCATCTCACTGAGCGTCCTCCAAGAAAACAATAAGTCAATATTTTCCAGGGTACGAGCCCCCTCTCTGGCCACTTGCCGGATTTGTTCTCGGTCATCCCGAGTTCAAATCCTCTGCCACGCTTGTAAATAGCCAACTAGTTGCCTCCTGCCAGTTGGGGCTTTTAATCCTGTTATGTTATATTTGAATTATTTGTTTCTAATTATTTGAGTGGAATGCCTGTAAACTAGCTGGATAAGCTAAGTACATCATTTTCCACTATAAACAAGCCTTTAAACCTTTTTAATTGGAAAGTGTTTTGTGACATGTGGGGCGTCCTTGCCTAGTTGACGCCTAGTTCCTATGCGCACCTGCAGCCTTCTCGGACAAAGTATTTTGGGCGATGACGTATCCGGGACAAATGGCTTATAAACTCCCTTGGACCATGTGACTCGAATGAAAGTTCAACTGCATTACTACATATTAATTACACCTTTTTTAATGTTATAAATCACTATTTACTTTTGAAACCTCCTCCGGAATCAAATTTATTAAAATGAACAATATTTAAGAAGTATTTTATTCGCGAAAAAGTTTCAGTAGAAAAAGTGGCATTTAAAATAAAGTAAAGCNAAATTAGCATAATTTCACCTTGCACGAGCTGCACGCATTTATAAAATCCACGTCATCTAGTTATGAAACACGATCTGCTGTCTTTTAGTTTTACCATGGATGACGTGGATGAGATTTTTCTTCGTGTTTTAGACAGTACTTAGTTGTTTTTGTTTTGGCGAGTAGCAGAACGAAAATGTGATTTTCAGTGGTAGAGTCATGGAAGTAATAAAAGAAACCCTTTGAAAGAGATGTTTGTCTACTCCAACTAAACCTCCCGCAAAAAATAGCAACATTTGCCTCTCGAAGACAGCGTACCGGCACAAAGGAACGAGGAAGAAGTGCAAGAAAACAAAATCAAGCTGCCACAATTTAGTGACAGCGGCAATGTCTAATCATGTCTAATGTACAAACCACATCGCAAGCCCTGACCGAAGTCGAAAACAAGCGACATTTCTACGCAGAGTCCCAGTCCACTGCATCACACCTTTTTGCTCGGACGCGCTCGTTTCACCGCCCTACCTTTATCCGCCCTGGTCACCGTTGCCACGGTATTGTGGAGTTTTCGACAGTATAATACTCAATTATCAGCTAGCGGGAACCAAAACAGGGCTTAGACAGGGATTTGCCTTTGAGACTATTTTGCTTTTGAGACACGGAAGAATACCAGCACGAGAAACGAGGGCAAGCGAGTAATTTGCATAATTTTACTTTTGCACTCTCTGGCTGTGAGGAAAGAAGGACGAGTGGCTCTGGGGACGAGCACATTTTTCGTATGCGATATATGACGATCATACCTTCTGAGTACATGTGGATAAAGCAAAATGGCGAAAGAAGCGAGTGGTAAAATACGGCATGTTATCGCCGATTCAGCTGCTTTTCTCAAAAATGCACCTGTTAACGATTTGTGTGAGAATGTGTACACAGTTGAAGAGGTTGTAAGTGAGATCAGAGATGCGGCAACTCGCCAGCGTTTAGCGGTGTTACCGTACACTATTCAGTTCAGACAGCCCTCCACCGAAGCTCTTCGAGCAGGTACTGTTAAAACGCTCAGTTGCTGCTTTATTACTCTCTCATCTAAAGCACTCACCACCCATAATTTCGACGGTAGAAAAAGTGTTGAACAAAGTAGTTTCTGTTGACTTTATGATCGACTGTTTGTCATATTCGTAATAAGTTTAGCTCACGTCTTGGCTTACTGACACAACGTTTCTATGTGATAATTTAATTACTTTCGCGATCTCTTAACTGCCGTCCTACATGTCTAAGGAAACTATCAGGTGATCGCAGATTTTCGGAGCAGTCCCTTTCTATATCTCAAAATTCTTTGGATAAAGATAATGTTGTAACCAGCAGTGGAAATTGTCAATTTTTTCAAGATCTTCAGAGGGCATTCTACCCAAACATAAACTTACGTTAAACATGCATGGCTGCAGACGGTAACCCTGCAGATCACCTGAAACATTTGGGTTGTTCACATTAGATGTTGAGAAAGCTAAGCAAAATTAACCAGGAAGGTGGAAATTTTCATGCTTTCCATTTGAAAACTCATTAAAGAATTTACATGCATGCTTGCTGTATGCACGCTTGGGGCATAAGGTAATTCTGGCCAGCTGAGGTATTGACACCAAAAATATGGGTATATGAGATAACCGTTCTGTTTGCAGTTGTTTAAAAGGTGGATAACGCCAGGTGTAGTTAATCAATAGAAATTGATATTCGGAAATCAATCAATATAATCTGCCAGTTTTTTTCAATTGATATCGGAAATTGATAGAAATCAAAGTCACAGAAAAAATATTCATCAATTATTGTTGATTGAAGAAAATGGATAACCACTGATAGTAATCGATAGTAATAGATAAGCAATTATATTGAGGAGTGTATGGGTCAGATATTCTGATCTGAATGGCTTTAAGTAAACACGTCTTCTTTTTGACTTCAGCAACTACTCCAGGCATGGTGTTAGCTATTACAGATTATTATTGTGCTACTGGATTATTTTTTACCTTTTTTTCACTTTATGATTTATTCTTATGTTCCTTGTGACTCTTTGAAAATCACATGGACACTTATTTTGTACTTTTAGCAATGTTTTTATCAGTTGAAAGAACTGCATACTATCATGACTGAACTATGCCTGGATAATGGTATCCACTGGAAAAACTATGAGATAAGGCATTTGGTTTTCCTTATACTAATCTGCTGGTAAGGGCTCAAGGGCCTGAGAATTGTTTTGCCTTTATATCTTTCTGGTGGTGAAAGACAATGAATCTGATATCATCAATACAGTGTAGGTAAAGCAAAGTTTTAGAAAAGACATGCAAGCAAAGCCTACAATCAACAAGATGCTTCCTTTGTTTATTGTCTTGTTTGTTTTGCTTATTGACTTTCCCATTTTGTTTTGTTGGAAGTTGAAGCAGACAATATTTTAGTCCTCCTAATCTTTAGTAATGATGATTACTTTATCCTGTGTATTTTACAGTAACAGCATTTGCCAAGCTAACTGGGGATTTAAGAAGCCTTTCAGCAGTTGACTTGAAAGTTTTAGCTCTTACTTACCAGCTTGAAAAGGAGCATCGTGGAATAGAGCACATAAAATTATCACCATCTAAACAGGTACACTGTACCACAAGCTTAATAATATAGCTGCACCTTAATACTTACCAGAACTTTCCATGCCATTTTATACAGGGATATAGTAAGTTTCCCCAGGCCACAGGATTGTAAATTATTTTACTACAATAATTATTAGAAAGTTGTCTTTCATGCTGACAGAGAATGTGCATTAATTTTCAAGGTTGAGATTTCTCATGGTTTTGGAGGAAAGGCCATACCTGGGTTCTATGTTGAAAAGGTGAGTCTTGTTACAAGTGTAGTATTGGTCAGAGCCAAAAAAATCCTTGAAGTTGGTAGTGGAAAAAGGTTATTTAAGTAATTCTTGACAAAAAAGAGAGATGAAGGGTTACATTTACAGCAAACGGCAAAGATGAGATTCAAGTTGAGAATTTTTCACAACAGAAAATATGCAGATGAAAACTGTCCAGGACAATTCTTAAAGATAAAACTTGCGTGAAACTACTTCTTTTTGAATAGAAGTTTTAAAGAGTAATTTTAAAGGACAATTAAGAGGAAACTTGGTCACTCACGTTTGCAGTTTGGCGTAAATGTGAATCTTGTCAACAAGTCATATTAATGTCTGAGCCTATGATAATGATGACATGAAGCCATTAAAAGATCAAGTTGCTTTTATATTGTTGACTTCTGCTATTCCTGGAATTTTACATTATCTATGTAATTTTTGTTTGCAGAAAACAAGTGAAGACGGGAAAGATAACGAACAAAATTCAGAAAATTCAAAAACAACCATTATAGAAAGTTGTGAAACAGAACTTACAGCAATCCAAGTAAAATCAAATACTGTTGTTGAAGATGATTTGCCAGCTGAGAGGGACACATTTGAACTTTCTAGCAGTGATAAAACAGCAAGTGATAAGAACAATGAGTCAACAGAAATAACAGAGATTACAACAAGTGTTCAAGCCATGATGACACATAATTCATTAACAGATGACTCCAAGGATAATGATGAAGTGACTGATTTGAATAGCAACAGTTTTGATGATAATAATGACAAGGGTAGTAATGATGATGATGATGATGATGACGAGGATGATTATGATGATGATGATGGTTGGATTACACCTGATAATATAGGCCACATTAGAGATAAGATGGGGAAAGGTGCTTTTGGTGAGGTCCCTGCTAATGTGACTGTGGGCTGTCTTACAACTGACTTTGCAATGCAGGTACTTTACCTTAGTTAACAAGTAAATAACTAGCAGAACACGTCATTTCATAATGATACCTTCACAGGAAAGTATACCAATATATTAAAGTGCCCATCACCTAAGAAAATAAGAAAATATAAGAAAATATAAGAAAATAAGAAAATATAAAATTTTAGGTTATGGGCACTTTAAGTTCTTTTTCAGTTTGACCTCATTGGGAAGTTGACTTTGTGTGTCCCTTATTATTCCTGCTACAATAATATCTGCTTATTTTGTTTTCTTATAAAAGTCTCTAACAAATAAAAATATGTGTAGGCTTTTCATGTAAGAGATATTGTGCGAAGAAATGCTTGAGAAGCATGCAAAAGGGACACAAAAGCAAAGTGTAAGGAAAGGAGTGCTTGCAGCCCTCTTTGATAAATTTTCACTTTGACCCTAGAAACCACAAAGTGAATAAACCTGTTTAAACATTCACATTCACCAGTTATGCTATTATCTTCCACACCATAGATAAAAGTCAGCCCCATTATCCTACAATTCTCTAAGGGCTTAGGCACTTGATTGTACAGACAATTAGGAAAAGCATTTAATGTGAATAAATAGACTGCACCATTTAAGCACAATCTTGCAGCGATGGTGGTAACATCTGAAATGAAGTATGGTCAGCTGGAAGGTTACATGTACAGTATCTTGGGAATAGTGGAGGAAAAAGATGCCTAAAAACACCATTGAGACATTATGTGTATTTCTTGTCTTCTTTGCTGTAAACACCAACAGTGAATTATCTTAAGTTACCTAAATAGTCGCAAATTTTGGACGGACTCCATGGATTGGAGTAAACCAAAGTTACCTTTTAGTTTTACCAATGTTTTCTTCATGTTTATAACCATTTATGTTCATATGAGAAGCTCAGTGTCTTAGACCCTGTTTACATGGAGTGGGGGACCCTGGTCTAGTGGGGTTGGTTTCTTTTGTTTTCATGCTCTGGAGAACACAAAACAAAAGAAACCTACCCCACTAAACCGGGGTCCCCCACTCCATGTAAACAGGGTCTTAAATGTTGTTTAACAATTCGAAAAAAGTGGTCACTTCAACTTTCTTTTGACTTTGTTTTTCTAATCTCTTCTAGCATCACCGTACATTTGCAATACATTGATTCTAGAAAAATGATAAATTTCTTTCTCAATATTTTATTAGAATGTGCTGATACAAATGGGACTCCATGTAATTTCACTGGATGGCCTGCTGATAAAGGAAGCCAGAAGCTATGTGTTAAAATGCCATGCTTGTTTCAGGTAAGGCATATAATGTACATATTGATTAACCGGTTTTGTTTAGTTGTTGATGTTGGCCAGTATTATTTGATTGGGTTGTGTGTCCTGGAAACAATACCAATTTTATAAAATGGTGCATAGGGGTGCACATTGAAACTAACTGATATTGTGGGATTTGTAAACAGCTTTTAGCCTAACCCAATGTCAACTTTAAGATTTAACGATAATAATGGAGTAAAATATTTTATTGTGTGATTTAAATTTTGCGACCAATTTGGATGACATGTTCCTTGAAGTCATTTTGTGGGACATGGTTAAGCATTAATTCCTGTTACGTACCCTTACATCATTACCTGTTGTATGTATCTGTTGAAGAAGGCGTGGAGTCTTTTTTCAAGGTCTCGCCCCTTTGTGTTAGATGCTCCATTACTGATGGTTAAAAAACAAAAATTGAAAAAGGCATTTTTTGGGATGCAAAAATTTTGGGTCGTTATATTTCAAAAATGCTCTCATAGGTCTTTTTTTTTCAAATCTTGCCAACTATTAGCGCACTAAAGGAGTTTAACAGATTATTACTTGATTTGAGAAAATTCTCAATTTGCAGATTTCATGTCATCATTATTCTGTTGCAATGGAAGTGGCGATGTCAACAAAACAAACCCTAAAATAAAATATGTTGTTTCACTTTGTTGCTTTTCCATACATGCACTACAGCCAAAGTTATGCAGCATCAAACATGAAGGGGTGAAAACCTTGAAAAATGGGTGGGAGCCTCCTTAACTGATGCAAGCATAAGGACATGAAGTAAATTATGTGAATGGGCTTGTTATTGGGTGTTTTTTACTTTGTCAGTATTCTCCTTAATGATGATTTTTTTTACTGCTGTTTCCCTTTCAGGGTAACGAGTCAGTTAGGAAAGAGGTTTTGCCCAACATGTGGTAACAGTACTCTTCTGAAGGTATCAGTTAGTGTAGATGAAAATGGTGTGACTCATTACTCAGTACCAAACTCAAAGAAACCATTTAACATCAGAGGCAAGAAGGTACAATCCAAGTAAATAATTGAATAAAAATGCTTATTAGGCCTTATAAAGGGTGTGTCTCATTTCTCTGTCTGACCTGTACAACTAAATGCAGCGTAGTAATGAGACTTTGTTTTGTTCTGTTCGTCATGTTGCATTATCTTACATCTGTCTGGTAGTTACGTTCTACATATTTAAACTCAAGTCATACTTTTTACTCTCTAAAGCAATAATTATCACTGTTATTTGAAACAGTGTAAGCTTTTAACTTAGTCCTTGACATTCCAGGCAAAGTAAGCCTGCGAATGGCAGACGCATCGCCGCTGAGGGACGTTTCACGAGGAACGCAAAACGTCCCTTAGCGGCGATGAGCAAGGAGAAACGTCTGCCGTTCGCAGGCTAATGCAAAGTGAATGGTGTTGCTGACTTATTTTTATGTCAAAGCAGATAGTTTTGTAACATATCAGTGCCTCTCTCCTTGGCTTTCCATATGAACCATTTGCGTTCATCCTAGCCTAAATGTGTGTGGCTCTTTTAAAACTACTTCACTACACCAGTTAATAGCAGCTCAGTCGGTAGAGCACTTTACTATAGAGCAGTCGGCTACAAATGTACCTTCACGTGCCTCGAATGACCAGGTAGAATGGCAAAGACTTAAAAATTAGTTTACTTAATAATTAGAACATTTGGGCTGAATGCATTGACTTTTTAATAAAGTGCTTTTTGTAGCCTCCAAAACAGGCATTTTGGTGCTTAGTGTTCTTAGTGCAACCTACTGTTATTGTGTCTCTGGAATCGCCTTTGTCTAATCGCTGCGAGGATCATCAGTTGCCCGTATTTTCCGTCTCTGTAGTGTATCAAAATTGTAGGGTTTCTTCTTTAACCGATTTTCTCTGAGCATTCAGTATGATGTCACGGCTTTCCGGGAGAAACTTGCCGAAAAGTAAATGCTGATATAAGTGTTTTTTTCAAAGTTATTTTATCCTTATTTATTTTTCTTCTTTTTTGTCCTTTGTTCTCTGTCTAGTTTCCTCTTCCTTTGCCTAAAGGCGGTCGCCATAGTGATGTCCCTATCCTCACTGAAGATCAACCGCGCGGTCAGCACCGTCTACCTCGAAAAAGAGATGATATGAATGTATTTGATGCTGATTATGTCGCACGAGCTTCACCGTTTGCTGCTAAAGACGTGACAAGCCGCGCCTCTCAGCTGGGATATCACTTGAAGAGTGCACATAAGAGCAAGAATCCAAATGAAGTCAGAAAAAAGAATTCAAGGAGGAAGAATAAATAACTACTAGCAAACACTTGTATACAACAGGGAAATAAATGTTAATTCTGTCATCTATGGAGCTTGGATGTTTATTATAGTTTGAACTTCATATCATTGGCAGTATCGGAATCTTATTTCTCCTTACAATATCACAGCTATATACATAGAAGTCTACATATATAGATGTCACGAGAAAAGCGGAAATGATCTTAGTGAACAAACAAATCCTCCTTATTGCTTTCATGAGATCGTGAAGCCTTCTTAAAGAGGACGATTACTCGCGAATACCGTATTGTTAAAGATTTCTTCTGTCGATCATTGTAGGCGCCATTGAAGCTAAGGGTCGATAAGAGTGTCACAGGGAACAGTGCACTAATACTTCCCATGACATACTGCGCAGCGAGTGAGAGCAAAGAGGAGCAGCTAGGAACAAGAAAGGTAACAAACCTTTACCCCTTCGGGGACGATGTAGAATGAACTAGTTTTAGAGATTATTTTCTGATACCCAGGGGACAAACGTTTATTTCTGGAATGCGAAAAAAAAGTTAACGGGTCTTGACGTAGCCTGCGCGCAGACGAAATTAAACTCTGGTTAACTCCGTCTGCGAAACAGCGCCGAAATTCTTGTTCTGGACTTCCAGCTGTGTACCCAGATTTGAGTACGCGCCACGATTGGCCAGTTAAAAAAGGCCTTTGTTTTGTTTGTCGTGATCGCCAATCAGGTTGAAGGGAAATTCAAAACGCACTTCCGGTAATTCGTTGAGTCCGTTGGGGGTTCAGAACAAGGATCTCTGCGCTGCTTCGCAGACGGTACTAATCAGAGTTTAGTTATCGTCTGCACGCAGGCTAGTCTTGACGAGGAGAAGACAATCGTTAGGCTGAGTGCAAACTGACGCAACAACTCTCAACATTGTTGAGCCAACAATGTTGGGAGTTGTTGCGTGCGTGTTGGCAGTGGTCTGCAAACGGATGCAACAACTCCCAACAATGTTGGGACCTGCAGTGCATCGTGGGAAGGATACAACCCATAAGTCTTTATAAACCATGCGTAATGAGCGTGCGTGGCCCCAACAATGTTGGGAAAGCTGTGCAAACGGATCCAACATTGTTGCACTACGCTTCGGCGATCACGGGACAAAAGAAATGTTGGGAGTTGTTGGCTGAAAAGTTTGACCGGTTTCAAGCCCCGTGAAAACGGACGGAACATTGTTGGCCAACAACTCCCAACATTGTTGGATGTTACATGTTGCGTCCGTTTGCACACCCTGTTGCGTGTTGTTGCGCAAAGTTTGAAACAGGTCAAACTTTTCAGCCAACAACTCCCAACATTTCTTTTGTTCCGTGATCGCCGAAGCGTAGCGCAACAATGTTGGATCCGTTTGCACAGCTCTTCCAATATTGTTGGGGCAACGCACGCTCATTACGCATGGTTTACAAAGACTTATGGGTTGTATCCTTCCCACGATGCACTGCAGGTCCCAACATTGTTGGGAGTTGTTGCATCCGTTTGCTCACCACTGCCAACACGCACGCAACAACTCCCAACATTGTTGGCTCAACAATGTTGGGAGTTGTTGCGTCCGTTTGCACGCAGCCTCAAACTTTGCGCAACAACACGCAACAACATGCAACAGGGTGTGCAAACGGACGCAACATGTAACATCCAACAATGTTGGGAGTTGTTGGCCAACAATGTTGCGTCCGTTTGCACGGGGCTTTATGTCGTATTTAAATGTCGCACAGAATTAAATGTAGACAAACTTTAAGATAGATCGACGATCATTTTAAAATCCAAACACGACACGTGTGTTGCAGCAAGATCGCTGACGCTAACGACGTTGTTGAAGAATAAAAACAGTCAGACTGGTAAAGTTCAAAATACTCACACTTTTAATCAATCCATTACCTCAATAGCCAGTTATCTGGAATAGTGATAACCTTATCCCCCCAAAGTTAAATCAATTTGAGTAGTGGAAAACAAATTCAAAGAAGGGACTCTTTGAATTCTAATAAAATACTCGTTAAGAACAACAACAACAAAAAAACTGTCTGACATCAGAAAAGTAAAGTAATAACATATTAATTCAAATGGCAATTTAGTCTCCTGTGCGTTTAGTTAAAACGAAAAATGTAATAATTTGTTCATGCATGTATAAAATGCACCTCGCAGCAAAAACGAGATTATGTCTTCCTTAGAACAAGAAAAATACTATGACAAAAAAAAGAGACCGCAGCTTTCTGGTTGAGCGAACCAAAAAATAAATGGATAAACCTCCCCGAAAAGCTAAATTTATTGTAAAATTTTGTTTGAAATTAGAGAGGCAAAAGGAGAAACGTACTCAGAAAATTGGCGTAAGGTAGACGAAAAATAGGTCACAATGATGCCAATAAACGACCTCTGGTTATTTCTTATTTGTTTCGCCCAAAGTAAACAAGTAAGTGTTAAAAGTTATAAAAGTAAAGTATTAAAAACACAATCAACTACAACGGTCCTAGAACCAAGGGGGCGAAGGTTGATCGAACAAACGATCAGAATACTAAAATCAGCAAATAACATTAAACGCACATGAAAGATGTTTCAGTTAAAAATCATTAGTGATCATGTCCAATCTTGGTCCTGTTTTGTAGTGTCGTTAGGTATACGTGATATTGCACCCACCGCACCCTACCCCTTAGCTCCACTTCCTGTCAAGAATCCTAGATTCTCTTCTGTTGTCAATTTAATTGTCAATAGACATCATTTGAAAAAATAGTACTAAAAGGGAAATTAAGAAAGTATGGACTACAGGAGTTATCTTAAGAGAGGTAGATTTCTTTGGAGCTTTTGCTGACAGGCGTAATCTATCCCTGTGCGCTAAAGCTGAATGAAATGATACGTTACGTTCATCTTTGTCGATAAAAACCTGAACTGGACTAACTGTTTTTACCGGTCTGCACCTGTTAAGATTTCTTGAACTTTTACTCACGAGTGTGATATTAACCACTGTTGCTTGATCTGGGTTAACAGTTACTCTAAGCTTTGTGTTCTTGTACTTTCTTTTGGCCACTCGTACTGTGTAATTACCCGGAACTAAGAGACGCCAGAAATCTCCATCCTTGGACGTTTTGATCTTCTTGGCGCGATTTTCAATTATGATTCTGGCCCCTTCAAGTGGACGGCCCCTCTCATCCATTACAAAGCCCTTCATGCCTGTGGTGTGAACAAGTTCAACGTACTTGAGCAAAGGTTCGCGATTGGCATACCAGTAGGGCTTGATGTATAGTGCTGGAGGGTACTTACAGCAACCAAGTTCCAAGGTGATTTCAAAACAGTTCCTGGATAGAGATAAGGAAAGTCTGAGAAGATCATTAATTTGCAGAACATCGGAAATGTTTAAGCAGCTATTTTTCCACTTCCGTCTAATCCAGAAAATCTCCAGTTTAACACTCAGTCTTTAAGACTTTTGGTTTTGTATTTTTTTAGCGGGGGCGGGGACGGAGATTTTAAATGTGAATTCTTTCTATGAGCGGATTCTTTCTATCAAACCTAAATCCCTAATGAATATTGGCGCGTTTTATTGGGTAGGGGCCGGTAACAAAAATGCTACTGATACCCCCGCCTTTACAGTCCCCAAAAGATAACCGATATGACCAAATGAGTGCCGGATCGGAGGAATGAACTTTTAAGGGCGTCTAGGGGAAGCCACTCGGGAATTTGTTAAAAATAAGACTTCTTGCAATCGTCATTTCCTGCCTTCCGGAAAAAACCCTCCAAATTTTATTTAATATTTGTATTGGCAACTGTAATAATTATCATTCTGCATGCAGATGTCGGGATTTCAGCAGTCGAGAACAATGTGGCTGAATAATCCCGGATAGTGATAGTGGCTGATTTTAGTATTATTGCCGGCGGGGGAGGGGCAGGGAATAACAAATAATGATTTCATTTTACATGACAGGAATGACAATGATGACAAATAAGCAAATTAGGGCTCAACTCTATCTTTCCTAAAAAAGATAACAACAATAATGTTCGGTTTATTGAAAAAATCAATTTTTTCAGATTTGTTATTTCTTTTCGCAACAAACCCAGGCTTCCCTAAGCTATAGTGGATTTGGAAATTCTGCTAGCCTGCGTAGCTGGCGGGATTGTTGTGCCGGGGGTACTTTCTTGGCCGCTATCCCGCCAGCTACGCAGGCCAAATTCTACGTGCGTACATTGTACCTCTGGAAATATCCTGGCTACACCCCTGATTACCTACTAAGTGTTTAAAAAGAAAAAGAAATGTGACCAGGATAAATACCGTACGTTTTGTAATAATTGTAGTCCTGCATTCCCCCGGATATTGGATACCAGGCTGCTCCGTTTGTAATTCCGTCCGCGAACCTCTCATTTCTCTGGATTGGGCATTTCGGGTGCCCAATGTGCATTGTCGGATGCGTCTTTGAATACACTTTTGCTATAGAAACAAAAATGTCGTCATCTGGTGAACTGTAATAAACTCTTGATCCAGACCTCTTCAGCTCCTTTGGGAGGTTATCAAAAGGATAATTGACTACCAGCGTCCCTCCATGTAAGTTGGCTGACAGGACAAACGGTTCCTGGTGAATCCAGTTCATAACTGCCTGGGTTTCAGGTTGTAACTCATTCCTCTGTCCGTCATATGGATCAGGAAAGTTCCGGTTTAAATCCACGCCATTTGCGTTAAACCGTCCCCTGACACTACTGCAGTCGCCTTCGTTGGAGCTTTCCCAGCCATCAGGATTCATCGATGGCAGCAGGTGAATTCTGGTTGTATCCACAAGCCTTGTTACTCGATCATTGCTTCCATAATTGGAACACAAATAATCAGCAAACAGAAGAAGCAGTTCTCTTCCCACAACCTCATTCCCGTGCATGTTTGCCACATACTTGAACTCGGGCTTGCCAGGTATATGCCTACCGGGGTTTTTCGTGATCTCCAATACCCATAATTCCTTTCCCTGATAGGACTTTCCAATGGAATACAGCCTTGTTATGTTGGGATAGGTGGCTGCTAATG